TTCTGCAGACAGAAAAGTAAGGTAATCCTCAGAATTCACACACAGAAAATTATTTTAAACCAATAAACCAATATGTAAACGGTTTAAAATTATTTTAAACCAATAAATGAAGGAAAGGTACAAATGTGAAATGTGCATAAACATGTCTTTCCCTCTGGTCTTACTCTTCTTGGACTCCTTTCCCATGAAGAAAGGGGCAAGGGCCTGATAGAAGATACCTAATGGAAGTGGATGGACTGGCCTGGCCATCACCAAGGGACTGGGGCTGAGCTGCAGGAGGTGGTCTGGGACCCTACAAATGCATCCTCATGTAACCCATGCACTAGGGAAACATATACACACTTCCCAGTAACGGACTTTCACAATGAACCAGTTTGCCAACCTTTCAACTCCTTTTCTGAACTCCTTTCCTTGCATTGTGCCTAGTTCCTAAACACTTACAGTCCTCAAGGACCCTGTTGGCTCACCATTCCTACTCTCTCTAAAACTTCCCTCCCTCTTCCTATTACCCATTCAAGGCTTCCCTAACACACATGGCAGTGTTAGACATTATTCTTAATAGCTGATTACAGCAAATAACACCAAGGAGTGTTAATGGAAGGGTCATAGAAATTTCAAATGGAAGGAGAAGGTTGCTATGCATATTTGAACTGAGCCTTCAGGGATTCAAGGCAACTCCAGTTCACAAGAGTACCTAATTAATTGTTTCCCTAATTTCACCTTCAGGAGAAGGGAAAGCCCTTGCATGTGGCTCTTCAGTCACTGCAAGAACCTAAAATCCCTCCAGAGAAAAATAAAAGGAGGGAAGAAAATGCAAGAGAAAAACCTTTGTTCCTCTCAGTTCTCACAATACAATGGAGTGGGTGTGGCCGCTCCCCATTGCAGCTTGGAGAGGTTAAGTCCTATGATTAGTCATGACTAAGAGAGATATATAAATCTATAAGGTGTAATATATATGACTAAGATATATATGTCCATAAGGTGTATCTATGTGCGTGTATGTATATGTATAGACGTATATATGTGTACGTCTATGTACATATATACGTGCATATATACATATATGTATATGCATATATGTCTATGCATATATATGTCTATATATACACACATAGATATACCTTATGGATATATATTAGTCATATATACAGCTTATATATGTATACATATACATACGTGTGCACGTACACATGTATACACATACATGTGCACGCACGCATGTATACACATACCTATATGTATGCAAACATGTATATATACATACATGTATATATACATACATGTACACACATACATGTATATATACATACATGTACATACATATGTATATATACCAACATGTATATATGTATATATGTACGCATGTATATATGTCTATATATACACATACACACACATAGATACACCTTATGGATAGCCACCAAATATATGTGCCATGTACCAAATCATGTAATTGATTTTACTAAATATACTTTTTATCAAGTGAATACTGATACTAATAAAATGGGAGTGAATATCTTTTGTTAAATTGCCTTTGAAACTACCAATTAAATTCATTTTGTTTGGCAGTATCATTTTTTAAAAAAAAACATAATAAATATAATGTCTGAATTGCCTGTCTAGTCAGCTATTTACAATAAGGTTCCCTACTCATAGATGAAAATGAGATCATTGTCCCAGGGAAAAAAGAACAACCTCAAAGCCTCTTATCCTCACTTAAGCTCAATCTTATCTTCAGCATATTAATTCCCAGAACTATGTTCTCCTCTAAATTCTACGAAATCAGGGCTACTGGTTTCTTCAGGAGACATCAAAAATTTGGAGAGCTAAGCTTCTGCCAATTGGCAAAAGCAGCTTTCAATCAGCTACCTGAATTCTTTTGGGAGGCTGGAGGCATCACTATTTCCAAAAACCATAGTGCTAAATCAACAGGAAGATTACAGGCATTCGGAATCAAGTTCTCAGACTGCGGTCTTCAGTTTTTCTTGAAAGCTGCTTATAAAAGAAGGACTGTGTGAAACTTTGATATTTACATCAAGTCACAACTAAGGGGCAGGTTTGCAAAATCAATTGTGCAGCTTTTATACTCACTGCACATTTACCACATATGTCCTTTATTACACAGTGGAAAACCATTAAATGCACAGTAGTTTTGCCAAGTGGCATTATGCATTTAACAGCTTTATTCGTTTAACAGCTCCAACTCTCATTATATTTTGCCATGTGGTACATGGGATTTTATGCATTTAACAGTTTAAGACGGCTCTATGGTATTTTCTTTTCATGTATTTCATAGTATGGTTGGACATCATGTCTTAGCAAGCTGTATTTCACTGATTTCATTGATGAGAGAAAGTCAGAGTAATCTGGAAAAATTACTACACTGAAATTGAAAGGGAAACAAACATTTTAATCCCTTTCCAAGTTCCCTGATATTCTACTCTCCTCCTTTTATCAACATCTGAAAATAACCTACATCAGGTTAAAACTTCAGGTAAAAAAGGCTAACCCTGTACTCTATAGTTAATCTAAACATAACATTTAACTATAGTTTGATTTTTTTCAGTTTTAAAAACTTAATTTTTATTGAAAACCTTCTTGCTTAATAGAAATACAATACTCAGTCACTTCCTTTCTTTATAGCATACAACAGAAGATTTGTTAGGGAGATCATCAACCATTTTATTATTTACATATGCAGGGATGAAAACATTTGTCATACAAGGACACAGTGGAAATCAAGCTCAGAATCCAAGGACTCTCAAAATTATGCTTTAACTAACTTTTGTTTCCTCCACTCTGCATTAGGTGTTCGCCCTAGGTATAAATAAGTAAGCATGCAACTCAAACTAACCTAGGATTCTAGGTTTGGGCAGAAGTTGTCCCTTTAAATGAAGAACTGAAGCAGATAGTAGATCCCATCAACTGTTGCTGCTTTCAGAAATAAAAAACCTAAGCATCTGTCTGCTCGTTTCCCCAGAGCATTACATTCTCCACAATCCCAGCACTCTGAAAAATTTTACTGGATAAGCTTCTATGTTTCTCTGTTAAAAGATTTTAGCACTTACTCTGCACTCCCCACGTGTGTTTTCTCCTGAAAAAAACAACTGTATTCTGTACATAAAAGAAACACCTGACATCAAAAGGTGTCTCTGGGCCTGGGGAAAAGTGGTTATTATAACAGAGTCAGCCATTCCCCTTGTGGGAACAGGAGAGGTGATGAGACTTGGCTAAAACTTGGTCTCAGAAAGGTACTGTTATATACATTCTAAGTTTTGTTCATATATATATATATATATATAAAGGGAGAGAAACAAAAGAGTACATTGCAGTGTTTAGAATAAGGAGAGAAATCATTCGAGGCTAATTTTTTTTAATCTTAAAAAAAAAAAAAAGATCGGGTTTTGGCTTCATCTCTATTTTGAACTCCAATGGGAATAAAAGCAAACTAGAGTAAAAGGCAGAACATGACAGGTTTCTTGGGGGTTATTATTGTTATTATTATTATAGGAACAGATGTATTTTTATTGGTGGGGGAAGGAGAAGGGTCTAATTCCAGCCCTCGATTTTGCTCTTTTAAAAACCACTCACCTGACTTTTATTTGCAGCCACTTTGGCAAACAGGGCTTGAGACACCTTGGCCCTTTTCATCTCCTGTTGGATCTCGTCATAAATGGCAGCTGTGATGTTGACGTTGGCGCCGTCCACCTTAATAGGGAGGTCTGTTGTCGGTGTCGAGGTTTTGGCCTACCAAGAGACCATGAAAATAATAATTTAAAAAGTGCTGCATTCAGCCCAGCCATCTGTGCAGAAATTATCAAAGGATTTCAGTCAGCTGATGCCAAACTGCATTAGCTACAGAGGGACACTTCCTGTCCATTATTCTAATCAGGTTAATTGTGATTGGAAATAATTGCAGTGCATTCCTATAGGACATGCAGAATCCTGTCAACCCTGTTTTCTCACAGTATATCAGACGAAGGTTCACAGGTAGGATGGCTCTCCTAGACACCAAACTATAAGCAACCATCTAACAACAAAACAAACATGCAGAACACACACACAGTTAACCTTTTCTTTCTAAAAATGGCACACCTTGGAAGAAGAGCCAATTCTTCCAGAAAAAAAAAAAAATGAGTAAATGGGTAGAGGTCTCTAAATAATAAATTATTACTCAATTTAATGCACTCCCGAGTCTCTCTCATTCTTTATTAAAGCTTTACGTATGTCATTCGAGTATGTATGGTTTCCCATCATTATCATCATTATGCTACCCAGACAGTCACCTAATTTCACCGAGGAAATCAGTGGAAATGAAACAAAATTTCATTTCATAAAACTAGGCTTCAGAATGCCTTTGATGTGCCGTTTTCATTTTCTTAAACTCATATTGTGGTTTTATGTATTCTGCAGTGCTCGTTTTAATTGAATGATTTCCCATCAGCCTCAGAGACAAATGAAGGACAATATAGAAGGTGTCTGTACTTCTTGGGGTTAGGATAACCCTAAAATGTCTGAATCTACTTAATCCAAAAGATGGTCATAACATTTACTTGGTGTGGGCCCTAGAATGCATTGCTGGTGTCTAATAAGAGAGGACTGAGACATTTTGTTGGAACCTCCGGCAGCAAGACTTCAGGAAAAGACATTCTTGATCCTTGTGCACTACCAGCTGAACTGACCTAACCTGGGTTTTTTCTCCTTGTCCAGAGAAAGATGTAACAGGCAGTGTGGACTCTGTGACAAATGGTGTCTAGAGGCAGAACTTAAGGCCCTACGTTTCCATAAAGGCTTTGCTTCCTAACAGTGCTCAGTGACTTCTGCCATTTTTCTTCTACCTCCTTCTCTCATACTATTTTCTAATTACCACAAAGCAATAATTACTATAATTTATGGTGTGCTTTTCATGGGCCAGGTACTCCAGAAAGCATTTTAACTTCTGTTTTCACATTTAATTCTTTTAAGATTCCAATGAGTTAGACATTATTATTTTCATCTTACAAATGAAGAAACTGAAATAAAAGAGGATTTTAACCTAGGACACCCAGCAGCCAGTGAAGGAACCATGATCTGAACGCAACTCTTTCAGGCTCAAAAGCATGGGGTCAGGACACTGCACTACACACTGCCTCCAAAATCTCCAATTTGTGCCAGGTGCTGTTACAAGAATTTCCTTGCTAGGTTGGGACTTTCCCATTAAAAATCCAATTCTCTGTAATTTTTTAAAAAAACTCTTTGTTCTGCTCAAGTTAACCCACAGTGCTTTCCCTGTTAAGAGAACGTTTTAGCATAGCATGTCTGCCCTTTCTCAATTCAGTTTTCTTAATTTGCCTCACTCACTATCTCATCCCACCTGACTGGTCAAGTCTTCTCTAGAACCATGAGGGCTAAGATGAAACCCCTCAGCCATGTGACCTTACACAAGTTATCGAATCCATCTAAACCTCAGTTCCCTCATCTGTAAAATGGGCGTAACACCATAAAATGGTGACAATTGAATTCATGCAAAATGTTCACAATACCTAATACACAGTAAGCATTTTAAAAAATGATCATTCTTATCTCAGTATTGCTTTGTCATTATTAAGTACAGCACGGAATGCTGAACTGAATAAATAAAAAGAGACTGCAGGTATAATTTCAAAACTGAAATTTCTCCAATTTGTTTTTCAGCTACTAATAAAGTATAGATGGGGTCTGGAAAATAATCTCCCTGCATCAATGTCAAGCTGCCTGTGTACACTAAATTGCTGACTCCAACTAAAAAGCTGAGTCAGTGAGTACTCCTCTAATACTTGTTCCCACAATAAAATCTGTACCGTATTATGATCTTTACTGTTGAGATATGCCTGTAAAGAATTTTAAGTCGGTAATCATGAAATGTTTTAAAAGACTTTAATAAACTCTCCTTTCTCAATTTTTACCCAAGAGAAAAAGAAGACAATTCTAGAGAATGTACAAATGTAATGCCATGACTGTATTCTCAAAAACATGTTTAAATATTTATTTTTAAAAATATCAAAACTGTGAAATTAAATAAGAGATTTCCCTGCTACACCTATCCCTAAAGGATATCTTAATGAATTTTCTAGATGGCATTCCGGTCAAAATAAGCAAAATACTGACCCTAACTGTGTGGCCTTGTAAGTTGGTCTGGCACTGAAAGCTATTAGGTCTTTGAAAAGGTGCCTACCATACATAATCTTGTTGGGAAAATAGTACAAAAGAGCTGAAAACAAACACACAGACCTCTGTTAATTTCTAACAAGTAGAAGTAACTTTCTAAGAACTGCCTTGTTAAAAGGCCATGAAGTATGGCTGGGCTCTTCTATAATGGTTTAATGGACTTCGAAAGTGGCAAACATATTGATGAATTTAGCAGAAGTAAATATTAGTGCACATTAACAACTTGCCCAACTTACTAGCTCAGTATGTATGCCCTCAGATTTTTTTTTAAATAAATAAAAATGCTTGGTTATACTCATCCAAAGTAAGCAGTCAAGAGACTTATTTTTGGTTTAAACAGTAACTAAAACTCATAATTCACTAAAGACTGAAGTGTAAGTAACACAATTTGGCAGTGCATGATAGAAAGTAATCTTCAATTAAAAGTTTATTGCAGAGTATAAAAATATAAAAAGAGTTAAAATGTGTGAAAAAATGGATATACTTGAAAAAGCTCAACTATTTCTACTAGAATACAATTGTGCTTCTATGCTTAATCAGTTCCTTAGAATTTATCAGAAAACACAAAACCAAAGCTATAATATCTAAGCAAAACAATCTTTGGTTTTGAACCGCCCATTTTTCAGATTTGTATAAATGTATATCCATTAGGTCGGGCATGGTGGCTCACGCCTGTAATCCCAGCACTTTGCAAGGCCAAGGTGGGCAGATTACTTGAGGTCAGGAGTTTGAGACCAGCATGGCCAACATGGTGAAACGCCACCTCTACTAAAAATACAAAAAAATTAGCCTGATGTGGTAGCATGTGCCTGTAATCCCAGCTACTTGGGAGGTCGAGGCAGGAGAATCACTTAAACCTGAGAAGCAAAGGTTGCAGTAAGCCATGATCACACCACTGTACTTCAGCCTGGGCAACAAACTGAGACTCCTTCTCAAAAACAAACAAACAAAAATGTATACCCATTAAATATTGGTTTTGAGAATTATCACTCAGACAGAACCTGCAACTATCACAGCAACAGTGAATGGACTGGCCTTATCATAAATCTATCGAGTAGTAAAAGTTTAGGGGAAGTAGGGGATAGGCCAGAAATGAGTAGGCTTGGATGTGAACTAGAAATGACCCGACTGCCTTGAGATCTTGACCCTTGAGTTAGGAGCTCTGACGCACACATTACTAGATGTATACACTTGCACGAGGGCCTAAGAAAAGAATACTTTTCAAGTGTGTGGAGAGGAAGAATGGAAGTCACCAAATTCTGTGGGGAGATGATCCTAGGATGGAAAATAATTAAGGCCTACCTTTCCACCATCATTTTCTAAAGGATCATTGAGTGACATCTCAGTCATTCTGATCTAGACACTGCATATGCATGCTTCCACTGCAAGTGTTCCTCCATTTTGTCTTTTTCAGATTACACAAAACAGAGCTTAAACTACCCTCTGCCCCTGCCCTCAGCCACCCTACGCCCCATCCAGCCCAACCAAATAAACATACAATTTAAGGGAAAGCAGTGTGCTTGCTATGCAAACTCAGCTTCAACACAAATGTCCTAACTCCTTCTTCAGCAACTGAGCAGCTACATATAAACATCCTAGAGCCAGCCCCTGTGCCCACTCCTACCTTCCCACCCCTCACATACCACTATGGAAGAATGGAACTTCCTAAAGGGACAGAAATAGAGTATAGGATCATATATGGTCAGAGGTTCATATCCTTTGACTAACACGTTTAGCGGATTAAGAATTCCTTGAATTGGCCAGGCGTGGTGGCTCACGCCTATAATCCCAGCACTTCGGGAGACCGAGGCAGGTGGATCACCTGAGGTGAGGAGTTCGAGACTAGCCTGGCCAACATGGTGAAACCCCATCTCTACTAAAAATACAAAAATTAGCCGGGCATGGTGGTGGGTGCCTGTAATGTCAGCTACTTGGGAGGCTGGGGCAGGAGAATTGCTTGAACCCAGGAAGCAGAGACTGCAGTAAGCCAAGATCACACTACTGTACTCCAGCCTGTGCAACAGAGCAAGACTCCATCTCAAAAAAATAAAAAAATAAGAAAAGAAAAAAAGGAAAGAAATCCTTGAATTATGTCTCTCAGTATTCAAGGGAAAACACAGTAACTAGTGAAGGCAAGATATTTCCAAGACAAAGAGTGAAAAATCCAGAGAGCAAGTTTCTCACCTGAGGGGTTCGGGAGGAGCTGGGACTGCTGGAGGCCGAGGAGACCATGCTCACATTGGGATTCATGCTCCGCTCCCTCTCGTCCTGGTAGATGCGATCTCGCTCCACTTCTGGCAGATTGAGGAAATTCTGCATGGCCCTCAGGTTTACTAGAAGAGACTGAGAGGCTGTCCGAGGGTCTTCTTCCTTACGCAGAATCTCAGACAATAATCCCTGATTAAATGGGGGAAAAAAATAGACCGAGTCACATTTGCAGGTATATGTGTGTAGTTTCTGTCTTCTGGCCCTCTCCCCCTTTGTTTGGTTTAACCAGCTCGCTGTGATGTCAAGAACCTCACACTAATTCCTTAGGGTTCTCCGGTATGAAGGCAATGTGCTTGCCTTCCGGGGGATATGCATTATTTTAGGACTGTTCTATTCTGACACTTTATCATCACTGTAATAATCATCGGTGTACAGACATGCCAGCTAGCAAGGTAGGCACTCGGGAAGAATTGTGAAACTGCAATTACCACCAGGTGCCTCCTACAAGTATTTCAGGAACTGTTAGAACTCTCTCTGCTTGAAACTGGGAACACTTGGCAGTCCTGCTTAGCTTTACAAATCTGCCAAGTTTGGTAAATTTAGTTTCGACATTTAAACAGCATGGTAGATTTACATCAATTTTTTAAAAAAATTGGCTGAATTTCTGTATGACCGGCCACTGTTTTCAATATAGAAATTTCTTATGGCAAAAAAAAAAAAAAAAAAAAGACACAAAGCAAATGGCTAAATTGTGTTAACCCTCTGATAATTTCCCAATCCATACACACAATAGTTACCCTTACATATGTACAAAGGGCACCCAAATCTTTTATGAGATGTCTTCATGGCGGAAACCCTAATCTCACCATTAAAGCAATGAAAATGAAGTCACCTCTGGCGAGGGGCTGAGCACACCATAACAACAGTGTGCATGGAATGCTATGATGGGCCCAGATACTTTCTGAATGTGTGACTCACCCAAATAGAAAGATTTAAATAGGAAATTAGTGTTTTCATGTGCTCTGATGACAGAGAATTCACAAAGAAAGGGAAAATGCTGCCAAGTCTAGAGAAGAGTAGTATGGACTCCAGAAAAAGGCTGGAGATCTAAGGTGGGACATTGTAGTATTGTGGGTAGGTGCAGATCTATTTCCATTCTGCACACTTGTTGGATTATCACACAGAGACATCACTTTATATTCCCAACTAATATATTGCTTCTCAGAGCAGTTTAAGAACAGAGTTCAGGATTATCCCCCTGGGAAGAGCTGAGATGTTAATCCCATGTCTTAGAACAGATGGGCCAACTCAAATCATGAAAAGTCACTTCTTTAACTGTAGTAAAGTAGAACAGATGCCAAAGACGTTTCCACTCAGGTGAAAATTAATGCAAAGGAAACACTATCAGATTTCTAATATGTGGCTTAAATATGAAAAGGCAATGAATGTAAGAGGAATATGCTATCTCTAGTTGTCCAAAAATCTTCAAGGAAAGGTAGGTAATGTTTTAAAATAAAGCAATGCATTAAAATATAGTGAAGCAAATGCCAGTTATAGGAAGTGCATCACATAGCACTCCAAGGAAGCAATCACCACTCAGAACATCACATAGTCAATTTTACTACAAGGAACTTACAAGCACTATATCATCTGACAGTTTCACAATTTCAGTGTCATGTTACTTTGATTAGAGAAATTCTAATACTTGGTAGAAAAGCTACAGATCAGTGTCTTGTGTGTGTGTCTGTGTCTGTGTGTGTGCATGCATGCATGCCCAAAGAAGGGGAAAAGGTAGGATGTGTATGTAAAAATAACTGACTGGCACATGATTCTTAATCCAGATTTCTTGTCATGCTTTTAGAAGCAATGAGTGAGACACTTATCTTCCAGAAAACGTGATACAATCTAGGTATCCACTCTCTGAAATTAAAAGTCAGTTCTGCCTAAAGCTATCCTACTTTCTACTTGCACTAAGCAACCTGAAATATTCATAATGAATTTGTTTTGAAGATAAAAATCTTCAAATGAATATGCAGAGAAGCAAGAGCAAAGTGGATTTCAACTTTCAATACCAGTAAAAAACACTAAGATTGATATTTTTTGAGTTTCCTTTAATGATAAATTCTGCATATAAAGGATGAGTTGGTCTTTTTCCTCTCTCTCCCTCCTTCCTCTCCCTTTCACTCTCATAAATTTGGTATTTCAGTAAATTTCAAATTACTAAAACTTGAAGAAGTTTTAGGGTCAACATGGAAAAATTTTTTAGTTATTATGACTATACTCAAGAGATCTCAAAGGCAAAGTTTATAAACCTATTCTTCCCCTGTGAAATTATTTTAACAAGTTGTGGAGTTTATTATAGCAAAGATTTTGGATACAAAATAGTGACATAACAAAACTATTGTTCTAACAGACCATGGCTCAAAATTATGTTTGTTCATTCATAATCAATAAAAAGCATTAAAAAACACAGAGTGTTTTAATTTGTTTCTTGTTTGTTTCTTTCCATTTTGAAACTGTATAGCTCCTTCTACATTTTTTACATACTGGACAACCTTGCAGGGAAACTAATCCATCTCCAAGGAAAATTATTATGAAGAATCCTTGAGAATGACTGCTCATCCATTTCTGAGGTGAAAGAGACACAATATTTGTATTTTTAAAGGGTGGTGGAATATACTGTTTCCTCTGTTTCATTTGCCTAATTGAAGATAAAGTCTCAAACCAACAAGGTAGCCAGTGTCACCTCCATATATTAACCCCAGAGAATCAGAACACTGCTTTAAATTATTTACTAAAACTCTCATCTGTGTAGGTATGGTCCCAAAGCGTGTTCTTTTCACCTCAGACATTTTCAATAACAAGTGGCTCACTGGTGGGCACAAGAAGAGTTTTAGTTGTTTTGTTGAGTCTTTTTCACTTGAGTTATTTATGTGCTTTCAACTATTTAAACTGGGATTTTCAAAAAATGTAGTCCAAATTCTTCAGGCTCATAAATGGAAAGTGAGTCTATTTCATTAGTTGAAAATCATCAGAGGAGAAAAAGATCAGAAGAAAATAGACAGCATAACTTTCATACAACCACATATCACCCCACCTAATTATCAAGATAAGTAAATGTTTATCATATTGAAACTGTCTTGAATAGAACATAAATTAATAATTTATCTCACATAAATATTTCTAAAGCCCTTGCCACTATGTCATCTGGCATTTTAATTATCAACCAGCCAAGCTGGAGGTGTCACTTGGACATTCCCATTATGCAGCCTGGGATACAGAAAATGTGGCACGGCACCTGGGCACTGAAAAAAAGATGCACTTTTATGAATAGAAAGGTCATGAATATTGAGAATGTGCAAATGGAAGGAAATTAATAAATTAACCAGGATATAGCTTATTAAACTTTCATATCAGTAATCATATTAAAATATATTGCAAGTATTGAGTAAAGTGATCATTAAGTATTTTCCTCATCGTAGGCAACAGAGCCTTCTCCAGGGACACATTAAAACAATTTCCTCCACAGTGTTAGCTGAGATTATGTAAGACCAGGAAACATGTTGACTAAAAGGAGCAGAACGAACATATGCACAGGGTAGAGAGATACCCTCCAAAATAATTCTTGGGTTACAAGTCAGTGGAAAAAGAAGGAAGTCAGGTAAAGAGAACCTCAAATTGGCTTTTTCCATAGCCTAATTAACATTTTGTAGACTTCATATAATTTCCAGGACCACCAAAGAATACATGAGTTTGGCAAAATATTCACTAAAAGCAAAATAATTCAAAGTACGAAATGAGCAAAAACTTATTATAATGCCATCTAGCTTGCTCATAATTTGGCTTGCTTGCTACCTCTACAGAGACAACAAATAATTGGGGCTAATTGTTTGATGAAAACTTAATGCCCTTATTTTTTCTAATATTTTAAAATATCTCTTTATAACAAATTAAATGACCTTTACAGATTCTGAGTCTGTACTTTCTGTCAATGAGCTTTTGATTTCCATACTTCCTTAACAATTTATATAGTTGACCCCAAATTGTTAACGTGTACGATATATGCTGATACTCAGAGAAGTCTGGGAAATGTTATCACGACGGGCTCTATCAAATTTACTTCCAAGGTTTTGCACTAGCCTTTGACAGTTTGTCTGGGACAGGTGAGAAATTACCTCTGATGGGCCTTTAACCCTGTAAGAGAGCAATAAGAGAACCCACACCTGGGCCAGGTTTAGGAATGCTAGGCCTGCCATGTCACTCCTGACAGCAACAGTTAAAGTCCTTACTGACTAGATTTTAACAGATATCTGTTCTTCGTGGCTCTCAGACCATAGGCAACTCTCTAGGATTAGGCTATATCTCTCATGGATTACCTCGGGAGCCCCTAAATCCAATATCTCCCATTGATTATCTAGGGAACCCCCAAATTCAATATACTTTGTCTCAAAAAAATAACAGATCAGTCTATTAATTCATTTCTTATTTATGATTGAATACAAAGTTCTGAGAGGGATGAATAGATTTAATAAGATACAGATTCTGCTTCCCAGGAGTTTACCATACGATGGGAAGGAGAAGGTATTATAGCAGCACAATATTAAAGATGTCAAGCATCATCAATGCAAGCCAGAACTAGTGTCACCTTGGCTCAAAGGAGGGAGAAAGTATTATCAGCTGCAGGATCCAGGGAAAAATAATTGGAAGAGGTAAGACTTAACCTAGCTGGAACTTTAAATACAGACAGTACATGGATATAAAGTTACGATGAATACTGGGCAGCCTGTGAAACTGTGGAGTTTTAGAACATTTGAAGAAAGAGAAACCACATGCTTACTCCAGAATACCAAGACAACCTCTGTTTCCTTAAAAGCTGTAAAATAAAGTGCAAAAACTAATAAAGTGGTAGAACATATTTTGAAGCAAAAATATAATAAGAGTCCACATTAATATGATTCTGAACTATTGGAGTATACACAAGCTAACCAGCAAACATTAACCCCCAAAATGAAGTGATATTAGATAATCTGTTCAGCCTTTTTGTCACCTGCAACAAATTAGGCTTTCAATATGCAAAACATCTTCCTTCCAGAAAAACAAATGATCACGATTCCATTTAATTGTAACTTAATGAGGCATAATTTATTTTTTAAAGTGATATACACCAGGTGTGTACTGAGGAAACTGGCCCAGTCAAACCCTAGTACTTCCCTTTGGAAAAAGCCTCAAGCTAGCTAGAGACTGTTTGCCTTTCTGGAAATTTTGTTTCTGTTTGTGGCAGTTGAAATGAGAGGTAGAAATGGTAACTTGCAATGTTCATCTATTTACTAAAACATGTACCTTTTGAAGTAACTCGATTCAAAAAATATTCATTTATCATAGAAAGCACACAGTAGGAAAGTGTTAGGTTCCAATGTGAACAAAGATAAACATTCAAACGTCATGTAAATCCCAAAGACAGCTTAGATGTACTTCTGATTCCTATGCTAAAAGTAAAATCATATGCTGAGCACTTCTTTAGAAACATTTGAACTAGACAGAGAAAATAAGCCCTATCCCCTCATATTATATTGGAATTATTAATTCTGGTATGACACTCATCTTCAGAAATCAAGTTACATCTCTTTAAAGGTATATGATTCAGAACACTTATTAGTGAAAATGTATTTTAGTTCATAATTATATACTGCTTTAAACAAATAGTGT